GAGCAGCATTTCAGGTTATTATGAATTTTGTGTTGTTTTTCCCCAGACCAGCTAGCACAGATTTAATCGGGTGTGGTAAATGACATATTAACCTAAAGCTCATTTCTTTTCTTAGCAAATTATGAAGGATCGGTGGATGAACGTTGGCCATGAAGAAGAAGAACTAAAGCCATATACTGAGCCTGAACCAGATTTTAATGATACCAAGAGAATAGGTAAGACTTTTACAAGGATGTTGCATCTGATGTACATAGGCAACTTTATCTTGTAAGTCAAACTAAACTCTCTTACCTCATTGTACAAGTAAAATGTTTTCTTTTATTTAAATGAGAAATTTAATTACAATGCCCTCCTTATAACTACTGTTGTGGCTTCACTGAGCTGGCATGAATCTACAAGACAGCAAAAGACAAATAAGATGATAGAATATAACAGACAGAGGGAAACAGATTTTGTTATGAGGGCAACAATTTTTATCCGCCACGGTCAGAGAAAGGTACTGTGTTGGCCCTGTAGCTATTCATGGTTTCTATTTGCCAGTGTTTTGTTTGTTGAATAACATTTAATGTTGAATAATGTTGAACTATGTTGAATAACATAGTTGAGAGTTTTCAAGAAGAAAATAACAATGCAACAGAGGATGTGTAGCCTTTTTGATTTTGCACAGCAAAGATTATGCTGATTGAGTTAATTACTAGTTCCCTGTTACATTATAAGGTTTTTTTCCATTTTCTGTGTTCTTTGGTTGTCAGTAAACCCAAGCACTTACTCTGTTAATGTATCTAGCTCTCTTTACTTTTAGACATTATGGTCACAATGGGCTTTTCAAGAGAGGAAATCCATGAATCTTTAGTAAACCAAAAATACGATGAAGTCATGGCTACTTATCTGCTTCTAGGTAGAAAACCACCTGAAGTAAGTGCTTCCTAATTTACATCTTCTGGTTTGGCCTTTTTATGTGGCTGGGTTGAATATTCTGGTTGTCAATATTTTTAGGAACTATTTTCTAACATCTGTTAAAAAAAATGATCAATAACTTCATTAATGTCTTTCCTTTTTTCTATCTTCTTGGGTATCTTGTTAGTTTGTATTTGAAAAAATAGATTGAATATACTATCTTCACATTTGCTTGTAAATATGTTGAATTGCTTTTTTAAAAGTAGCTGGTAATCTGAAGTGGCATGACTTCTAAGTGCTGAGTCGTCTTCCTGTCATGTGTTTACAGTTGAGATCTGAAATAATTTGACTGGAGCAATTATTCTTCTAGCTACTAAGATGTGACACTTTATTTCTCAGAAATGCACTCATCCTTTCTCACTTATATACTATATTATAGTATACTTTACTATTTAATAAATATAGTCATTATTGAATTTGTGATAGAAAATCTGTTGACTGTTTTGGAAGTAGAGGAATCTGTAGATCTTTTGGGACCACTAAGGTTTTCAAGAAATCACGCCAAGACCAGGGCTTTCATTTTGAAGGAATCTTTTTTTCCTACTGCTTCATTGGACTTCCTTCATTTCCAAGATAGTGTGGATCTGATATGTGCATCCTTGAGTGCATTTTCCCACAGCATCTTTGAACCAGAATTCTCTTGTGATGGCAGAGCATGGAGGGAATCTGTCTAAATGATTTTGACTCAGACTGCTTGGAAGACCATATTTGTCTTTTCCACTGCTCACTTTTACAAATTATGTTTCTTAGATATCAACAAACCAGTGGCTTGGTTACATACCTTATAAAGATGTGTTGAAGGCCATAAAGAATCCTTGAACCAGTAGCACTTGATTTTTTTTTTTTAATTTATTTTTTTTTTAGCCCTTGTGACTCAATCTGATGCATTTTGAAATTGTTCTGAAGCTCTAAATGCTCTTTCAAGCTTTAAAAAAGAAAGAGGCAGGGGAAGCCATTCTCTGGCTTAGGCTTTAAGATAGCACAGTTTTTGTTACTGGCAAGATTCTTCTAATTTTGCTTTGAGCATTCGTTAACTTTAGCTGTGTGTTTTTTAAAGCACATTAAACACAGATGACTGGTATTGTTGAATTTTGTTTATGCTTTGAAAAACTGTTTTTCTTGTAGTTTGAAGGAGGAGAGTCCTTGTCCAGCAGCAACTTAGGTCAAAGGTCTCGTCCTAGCAGTGACCTCAACAACAGTTCTGTGCAGTCTCCCGCTCACCTGAAGGTCCAGCGGAGTATATCGACTAATCAGAAACAACGGCGGTTCAGTGATCATGGTGGGGATGACATTCCAACAAGTAAAGTAACATACACAGTTTCAGTCTGAGTGTGCAGTGTTTTGTGAACCTGGCAGGTCCACCACTCTGTGCATTTGTTGTGTATCATCGTGCTCTGCTGTGGTGCTTTTATTTGTATGGACGCTTCTATGGTAAATCCGGGTCAATGTAACTTACGATTTAAGTTTTTGGATGTGTTACTTGGTTGATTCACTAAATAAGAGCTTGAAGATGTTTCCTGTTTAGGAAATAATAGCGGAATATTGGTCTGGATAAACTCAAAGGCAGCAAACCATTATGTTTATCAGAACATTTACAGTTGGGGCAAAATTGTTTCCAAGAGACAAGAATTTTAGCAAGTATTCAGGAAACATTTTCAGGTGAAAGTGGTTACATCAGAAAAGAGTGCATATTTAAAACATTAAATGAAAGCTGATTTTTTTTTTTTTTTTTTTTTTTTCCTCTGAGAACTTTCAAATTACTAGAAATATTTCTAAAATGTTTGGCCCTTTTCTCTGCCTAATTTACATTGTTATTTCAAATTTTTCCCCTCATTTCTTTTTCCGTTCACCCTCTGTGTTAGTATGTTTGTTTTTTCCAAAAAAAAGTAACCAATATTGTGAAGATCAGCTGATGTGATTTTATTTCAAGGGAACGTAAAATTCTACCGGTGTAGGATTTGCCCTGAAGCATTTTAAAGAATGATGAGGGGGAAAGCATTGTAACTTTTCCAAGTATAAACATGGTTTTAAACAAAGTAGTTCTAGGGTTTTCGGGGGAACAGAATTTTTCATAGTGTTTAGAGGAAAATATATGCAGCAAAAAGTGTGGAAAAAAATTTCTTAAAGTATCCTGTAATTCCTTTCTACATAATATTGCGCAAATTGCATGGGTTTAAAATTAGAATTAAAATACTCTTCTAGGTTTTACATCTTGATGTGAATTGGGAACTAATTCTGAACTGCAAACTGGAAATGAAGGGAGGGTGGGTAAAAAGGACATAGGCTGTCAAAGCTCAGCTTAATAGGCTGGTATATGTGCTGAGTTTGTAGTCGTTGTTCAAATGCTTTTTTTGGACTCAGGGAATTATATTTAGACTATTTCGGTCAAGAAAAATGCAACGATTATTTTTAGGTATTTATTAATACTGGTTTTATTTGGCAGTTGGTCCCTCAATTCCTCCTGCTGTGTCATACACAAAAAGGGCTCAGGCAAATAGTGTGGAAAGTGAACAGAAAGAAGACTGGGACAAGGATGTCTCACGCAAACTTAGCAGCACTACAGTGGGATCCAAAGGAGAGATGGCTGCAAGTCCACTTGTGGGTCCAGAAAGAAAGAAATCAACTACAGTTCCCAGTGTGAGTGTGTGTGTTTCTGGCTTGATATATTTATTTTTCTCTATTGAAACAAAATCTGCAGCATAAGGTTACTATAGACATAATGGTTAGTGAATAAGCCACTAAGTCTATTTCTGGTAAATTTTACTGGCAGACAGAAATAGGCTACAGTGGATGTCTTTTAAAATAAACCTTACCCTTCCCCCTACAAGTTCTCTTTTTCTAACACGAACATAACAGTAAGCAGGAGAATGTCTGCGCTTGGGCAAACTGATGATCTATCAAGGCAGATAGTGGATATTTAGGGAAAAAACGTAAGAACAGGGCCAATAGGGAGTGCTCTTTTTCAGATTTCTAATGCTTGTGTATCTACAAGGAAGTCAAGGGACTTCCTGAATCAGAGATTTCATCTGAATAATCCTACATAATATCCCTCATTAACTTTTTCTCTGTAAATTTGTCTGTTTATCTTTCTGAAACCACTTCATTTTGGACCTCAGAAATGGGGTGAGGTGAGAGGGAACAGCCCACTTGTGCCCTGGCATGTGTGCCTGTTGAACCAGGTTGTAATTCATAACGTCTTATATTAAGAAATGATTAATTTTTCTAGTTCTTCTGTTGTGATATCATTCATAGTTTTATAAACTGATATCATATTACTGCCTCAGACATCTTTGTTCCAAATAGGAGAGTCTGTCTTCTCATGTAAAAGCATCTCCTTTGCCTTGTGGAAGTTCATATGCAGTAGTACCGGTGTTTAGGTTACGCAATGAAAAAATACTGCTCAGTGTTTAAACAGCTACTTAGGAGCAAGAGTTCACGTGAATTAAAAAACAAACAAAAATATGCGAATCGTGACTTAAGAGTCAAATACTTTTTGCTTTTTAAGAGATGCTGTATTAAATACAAAAATTCTGGCCATCTTTTAGGACAGTAGATGGGCAGCAGGAGTCCTCATTGTCCTTTGGGATTCTATGTGCTGGCTCCCATTTTGGATATTCTGGGTCAATGATATGCGTTTCTGCTAGATATTCTCTTCAAACAAAATAAATGCTGAAGTTCATTTAACTCTTAATGTTCTGCAGGCTGTGTCTGCAATACATCTGCAGATGCTTTAAACTTTTTTTTTTTTTTCCAAATTTTAGATAGATTTGCCCCCCCCCCAAGAGTCTTTGGAATTATGGCTGTGTGGATTGCATGCAGGAACTTTGAGACTTCTAAGACAAGATTTCATATCTGAGCTTTCCCAAACCTGTATTGCCCCAAAGCTGATTATAGTCATGTATGGTACAAGCTGATACGTCAAAAGCATTTCCCTGCTTTGTAAGAACTACTTAAATGCAGCATCTTTGCTATGAAGAATGAGAATTGATTTACTTGCTAATGGTGACTTCAGTATTTGTACATTTTTAGCTCTGTTACTATTTTGGGGACTTTGTGAGAGGCTTTGCGATGGGCACAATTGAGGAATAATGGTGTCTGATACAGCAGCAGTAGTTAAGGCTGAATAGCTTACACAGAAAAAAAGTGTTCTAAAATTCAAACATTTAACATGAACAAAGCTTATTTAATATGGATAATTTTAAAATACTTTTGTGTAACTTTTGAGGGTAAGGAAGGCAGAATTTCCTAAAAAGTTATTTTTTGCCTTTGGTCATGTTAGTGTAACTTAGGAGAGTTTAACTTCAAAAACAGTTACTGCAGTTATTAATCTTCCTTACGAACTGGCTTTGAAACAGTTTATTCAGTAGTCTCTGTGGGGTGATACTAATGCTGCAAAGCTATAGGTGAGGGAGACCCAAACACACAGTAAATCTTGCAGAGTTCATGATGTCCTGTAATACCCAAGTTTTGTATTTGAAATCTTTTGCCAGCATGCATCAGTATATAGTGTTAGCACTTTGTAAACCCCTCCCACCCCAAATTCAATATGTACTATATTAAAAACCAAGAATTGTATGTCATGTACTGAAAGTAAGTCTTCAGCAGTGAATCTGTGCATGGCAGGGGGAAGAGAGGAATGTTTATAGGTACTTTATGAAGGAGAGTTTATAGGTACTTTATGTGTGCCAACAGAAATCAGTAACAGAAGGAAAGTCCCATCAGTATTTGTTGCAACAAGACCTATTTGCCATGTTATCTGTCATAATTTCTGGGTTGACTGACACAGATCGATAATCTTTCCATAGACTCTTTTGGCAGGGGGCAACAAACTGTAAGTCTGGAGCTGTAGCTGGCAACTTAATCTGCGCAGGGAAGCCTTTTAGCCAGCCAGATAGACGTGTTCTCTGGGATTCCAGTTTGTTCCTTTGATCCCAGATGCAAATAATTCAGTAACACAGTGTGTGGGAATTGGATAATAATACTTAGGAAAGCAAATGTCAGTAAAATTAAATTTCTCTAAGTTTTCTTTTCTTCTATTGGAAAAAAATGGTGGATGATATAAATGATTTGTGTCAACAGATTAACCTAGTACATTTGAAAACTTAAGTACACATAAATGGCTGAAATTGTTTTGATTTGCTTCCAATGCTTACATTTTTGTACAACATAATATACAGTAGAAGAAAGTATTTAATTTAATTTTAGTGTGAATTCTCTTCTAGAATAATGTATTTTCTGGTAGCGGAATGACAAGGAGGAACACTTACGTTTGTGAACGTTCTTCAGATCGCTATTCTGCAATACAGAATGGGAAGGACAACAGGTATTCTTCAGTTTTTCTTGCTTGTTAATTTGGGTACAAGAACTGAGGCATGGAAGCAGCAGGTTACTCGATTAATCAATACCATTATGAAGCATGGTGTGAAATATGTAAAGTCTGACTGTTATGTTTGCATCTTTCTTCCACCACAGCTTACAAATTTGATGAAATAACTAAATGCGTAGATCTGCCTTGGCCTTTTTTTAGGGAATTGCATTTATTACCAAGGGCTGTCTTCCAACACAGAGTAAAGTAACTGTGCTGACAGCGAAGTAGGCAGTTCTGCTGTGGAGCACTTCAGATGGGTCACCCTAACAGCGTAGCCTGATCCTTTTTCATTTCACTTAGTAATCATTCCAAAAGTTGAAATTGTTAAGACTTGTCGATCCTTTCCGATATCATTTTTTTGGCCTAATTAGTAGCGATGGTAACCAGTTTGTATCTGTATCTGGGATGATGATTACACTCAGTTTAACATGTTTTATTAAATACTACTGTATTTAACACTGGCTCAATTACTGTTCTTTAAAATATGTTATTTGTTCATTCTTGATGGTAGTTAACCCAAGTACATGACTAAAAACTAAAAAATTGGCTTTAATGGAGAGTAATAAAAATCAGATTTGTTTGTTTGTTTAAAGCAGTAGTTCTTACTCTGATTTTTTTTTTTTTAAGCTAGTTAAATAAAACAGTTAAGGTAAAATGAACCAAAAAATCCCTAGCATGAAATAACATAACCTAGTAAACTAGTTTGGTTTTGTTTTCTGTCTTAGTGTTTGAATTTTTTAATGATGTATTTAATTTTGGAAATAGGAAAAATATGTGTCTTTATAGTAAAACGATGAGCTATGAAATATGTACTACTTATATATGATGATTTGATTTATGGATGAACATAATATTCTCAGAACTCAGTATTCTTTACTTTAGCTGACTAAGGCAGCCCAGTCACTCAGTCTTCTGCACTTGCTGTGTTCTAAAAGATAAAATTAGTTGTTATTTTCCCTGTTTTCTGTGGGATTTTACACTAACCATTCTTTTCCCTTTCAATTTGTCCGTTCCCTCCTGCCTTGCTGCTATGGCAAAAGCCTAACAGAAATGTCTGCGAGTAGCACATCTTCTGCAGGCTCTGCAGTAGCTTCTGCCGTATCAACACGGCCTCGGCATCAAAAGTCTATGTCTGCATCTGGTCATCCTATAAAAGTTACACTGCCAACCATCAAAGATGGCACCGAAGCTTATCGACCAAGGTAACAGATAGATTATCATTTCTTTAATGCTGTGCACTTCAAAATGTTGTTGTTCAGTTCACGATATGCTTCAGTGTGTTGGTAATCTGTTCCGAACTGTCATGTTGCATTCCCCTTTGAAACAGTAGCTTACTCAAGTACTGTGGGTACTGCAGATGATTCAAGCCTGATTTTGTTCATCACACGTGTTTGCATGCAGTTAAAGAAGTTCCTTGACTGCCTCCCTCTGGAAGCTTCTGGAAAACTTAAGCAGTTAAAAATTTAACTAATTTAGACAGGACCGTACAACACAGGCCACCATAAATTCAAATGAAATACTGAAATGTTAACCTCTTGGGGTTTTTGATTGCTAGGCTTATTTCTGTCTAAAAGCACCATAGTATAATTGCTCTTAATATTAACTGCCCAAATAGCTTTGTACATTTATTTGTGCCAGATGATTACTACTTAGGGAATACCTGTTAAGTTTATGCAGTGCTTGTGTGTTAAAGGTTTTGATGAACATGTCTAACAGAAGAGGGCTAGGAACACTTTCAGATCTTACTACAGACTTTTCTGCCTTTTTCCTTTGTCATATTATATATATATCCTTTTTTTTTTTTTTAACTGCTCTTAATACTTGAGATAATGTGGTTTTTCAATGAAAACGTCTCTTGATTATTTGTACATATGAATCATAAAAGCAAATCAGTAGCAGATTCAGGTTTAAAAAAAAAACAAACCTGAGAGCAGGGGTTTTTTTCTGTCTTTGCGAAATTGTTGTCATGTAGGAGGGTTTCTAGCATAGTATTTCTCTTTATTTATGCTTCTGTTTTCCCAGCAGTGCAACTCAAAGAGTGCCTGCTGCTTCCCCGTCTGCTCATAGTATTAGCACTACCACTCCAGACCGAACCCGCTTTCCTCGGGGGAGTTCAAGTCGAAGCACTTTCCATGGTGAGCAGCTAAGGGAGCGGCGTAATGCCACTTACAATGGACCGCCCGCCTCACCATCACATGAAACCGGTGCTTTTGCACATGCTAGAAGAGGGACATCAACTGGTATAATAAGCAAGATAACTTCCAAGTTTGTTCGCAGGTTAGTACCTCGATTTTTAAGAGAAAACAAAAACAAAAAGCCCAGCCTATAACTAGGGCCATAATTGCAAAATCATTGAGAATTTGCAGTTTAAGTCTGAAGTACGTGTAAATTTAGTTAGAATGCTGTTGTTTTGTGTGTTCCTTCCAGAACGTGCCTTGTTTTACTTCTCTGTGTATATTGTAACTGTCATGTTTAACCAGCTGCTCTGCTGCTTTATCTTAAAGGAGCAAGAGAATGCTACTCAGAAGGGGTTTTTTTTGCTCATGCTTTACAGCTAAAATACAAAGAGCTACAATTAAGTTAAAATCAAATGAACTTAAATACTGAAAGCAGTGACTTGAAAACATGTTAACATATTTTTTATTTTTTTTTTACTGGGTGCAGTTTGTTGCAAGGGCTGTATTTACAATGATTGCATTGCTGTGCTTAGAGGGAATAGGTATTAACAAATTATTTCAGAGAATTCTAAAATCTCTGAGTAAATGAGAAGCTTAGCAGTGGGCAAAAGTCTGGATATCTGGAAATACTAATATTTCAGCAGCATGCAGCCTCTCATGTCATGTTACCAGCTTCTTCGAATTAAGTTCAGGGTTCTGGAAGAAGAAAACCCCACATCCTGGACCTGCATTCATTCCTGTGGTGATGCTAACAGTAATAATACTGTGAGGAGAACTGCTGGGAAAGATTTCAAATACACCGTTTAATATCAAGTGACTGTTGACTTAGCAGTCACAATAGCTTTCCCAAAAAGGGACTTAGTTTTTAGTTTGCCTCTTTCTAACAGTTGCTTACCTATATTCTTAAGCCTACTTACGGATGTGTCCATACTGCGTTATCGCTAGTTACACAACAGGATTGTATCTTGGAAACCTCTATTTTCTTAGCAGAATCATGCTGTTGTATACTGAAATCTGTCATTTGGGGGGGTGGGGGGGAAGTATTGTGAATGATTTTCTTTTTTCAGAAACCTGAAGATGCAGGACTATGATCCTCCGTTATTGGTATCTCCAACATCTACATAGTTGAGGGGAGAGAGTTTGTTCTCTGGTTTTAAAACAACAACAACAAAAAAGTTACAGTGAGGTTAGCCAACTGTGTTGTCAGCGTAGATTTCCAGATGGGAAGAAGGGTATTTTCTGTTAACTAAGCAATTTCAAGAGCACAAGGCTGGGTTTTTTGCATTATAGCTCATTCTTATTTGCAAGGAATGGTGTCTTCAGTTTTTTTGAAGAGTCAGATCAAAGAGTTAGTATTTTCATTATGTTAAACTACAATATTAAAATACTATTGTAAACTATGTATTTAGAATTAACATATTGTAAATTGATGTCTTTGAAGTGATCTTTACTATAGAACACTTTTCTACAATTTCCTATTATGTTTTGTAGTGCTAAAAATACATGTTTCTATAGTGAAGGCCTTGCAGGGTTTTTGTTTGTGGTGGTGGTGGGGTGTTTTTGTTGGTGTTTTGTTGTGGGTTTTGGTGTTTTTTTTTTTTTAAACTTTGGGTTGTTTGAGACTTTTAGTGGCTGGGATTACATGGGTGGAGGTTCAGGGGAGTTTTTTTGTTCTTTTAGTTGGATCACATAACTGCATGCCTTTTAATTTCTGTACTGTTCAGGAGTAATGGTTTAAAGTACACTTTGATTAGAAGGTGTCGTGAAAGACTTTTTTATTATCTTTTGGCAAAGGTAAATGCCTTTTCTGGTAAGTATATAAATAAATGCATAATGAGAATGTTTAATGAATAAGGTATTGAAGTATTTTGTATCAATGGTTTATGTCAAACGATCTTTCTCTGATGTTAGTTACTAAAGTATTTGTGTTTTGAAGGTATTAAATTAATTAGCTAATTGGAACTGGGTGCCAAAATGTTTGTACAGCAGCACTGGGAATGTACCTAGGTGGCTTATACAATCTATGGATATTTTTCAAGTTGCTTCAGACTAAAAAGGCGTAATACAAAACATGTCCTTCAACAAGATAAAGATATGTTTAACCTCAAGCTCACAGTAATCTCGCCACAGTCAGTGTAAGAGCTGATTTGCTTAAAGTTAAGCAGAAGTTGAATCTTTCTGAACTGGCCTCCAAACATTTGGTCTCCCAAACTCTTAGGCACGTCTTCTCTGTAATTACTTCAGTGTGCTTAAGCATGGGCATGTGCCTAAGTGCCTCCAGGACTGAGGTCTAAAGGTCTGGCCCAGAAGGGTGCGGAGTGGAGCCTCCCTGGACCACCTTGACTGACTGCTCCTCTGTGCTTGCTGGAATTGTGTGTGGCCATTGCTCTGTCTGCAGTAGGCTGAGAACAACGTGTTAATTTTACCATCAGTTTAAAAAAAAAAAAAACAAAAACAAAAACAAAAACCAAACAAACCAACAACAACAAAACAAACATTGAACAACTATGTGTCAGAGCTGAAAGAAGTTAAGGTATTGTAAAGGGAAATTAAAATTACAGCTGTGAAAAAGTACTATTAAACAGTATTAGGCTTGACATTATTATACTGATTTTTTAATTTTTTGTTCAGTAGCTATTTAACACTGTTCTAGATGTAGGTTTTCTTAACTTTTATTTTTCACCTTTATCATTGAATCTCAACCTTAACTTTGTTTTGAGGGATCCAAGTGAAGGCGAAGCCAGTGGCAGAACTGACACCTCAAGGTGAGGAGCCACTATTAATACTTCGCTCCTAGGTCTTTCGCATCAAAGTTTAAGTGATTTCGTAAAGATTTTTAATCAGGATGTAAAATAGAATAGTGCTTAAGTAATCTGCGTTTCAAAAATGTTTTTTTTGGGGCGGGGGAGGGGGTTTTGGTGAGGTCCTCTATCCCTCGTTTTTGCTTTCTTGCGAAGTATTTAATATAAAACTTTATTTAAGCATATTCCTTTGATTAATAAAGTCCCCTGTAGGAGTTAACCAATCCTTTAGGCACTTAAAAATCATGTTTGTCCTATAAATATTTAATGGTGTTTACTTTTGGTTTCAGTGGAAAACGTAGTATACTTCGTGTGTGTCTGTGTGTATATATGTATATATTAAATTTTTACTATAGTTACATACTGTGTTCATTACTAAAGCTGCTGTTTGCCAGAAGTAAACACCTTATAGTCCCTGAGAAATGAATGTCACTTTGCACTGAGAAATAAAATTAAGTGACATTCAGGCAAAAAGGGTGGTGACTGCTAAATACCGAATTTGTACGGCAGCCGCTGTACACCAATCTGTAGATGCTTTGTTAGTGGTAAAGCATTCCTTCACATGCTCATTTTCCAGTATATCTGCTCTTTCGCCATGTTTCAGCATTTGGTTCTGCATTTTTGGTGTGCTTAGCACAGTGCATAACTTTTTATTTTTACGCTCTCTAATGAACAGGCATTGTAGTTTGCATTCTAAACTGGTCACTTACGGAAAGTATTAACTTTGTTTTCAAAACAGAAACCCTTTATTTAAAAAAAAAAAAAGGCAGCATGTTCTTAACAGGATACATTGTATAATACACAATGCATTTTATCTACGTTAGCCCTTTGCAATTCAAAGTCTATTAGCTGTCGAATTCTTGACGTGGAAAGGGAAAAGAGATAAATCAAATGTTCAAATGAAATGAAGTGTGAAGTTGCTTTCAGCTCTTGCTTTTATTCTCTAGCTTCCTCTACTTTTTGTCATCCTACAGTGTCTGTTTTGGGCTAAAAGTCATTTGAGATCTTATCCCTGCCATGCTCTGTCCCTTAATATCGCTGTAGTTCTCTGGGGATCAGACTGAAAGTTAAATTAAAAATGCTTGTTTTGACTCCTCTCTGAATAGCAACAGTTTATATAGACCATCAAAACGAGAACAGCACCTTTCCCCGCTGACGGATGGGGAGGCATTGGGCATCTTAAGAACAAGAACAGAAATCGTTGGCTGGGGAATTACTTTAAAATAATTAGCGCTGTTTCTCAAAATGCTTTCTACAGTGGAATAAGTGATCTATTTGGTAAGGAACTGTCAGAGTAAGAACATTCATTTGGAAATTACTCCCTCGAAATTTTTTCCAAGTCATTATATCAACTAAAATACTTTGTGCCTACATATCACTCTTTCTTGTGTGGAAAAGCTGCTGGCTGTGTACTCAACTGCCTGACAAACAAGCTGTTTACAACCAAATTACAGCACCAAATTCTGCTTCATCAGTTAAAATAAAGCATGTTGTTATAAGGTCGTCTTACACAGAGAGAGGTCAAAAATACATTAAAAAATGCAAAAGGGGGGAAAGGTGGAAAAGAAGGGGGGGAATTAACTGAAAACTTGTGAGTCGCAGGGTGGGATTTCTTCTTCTGCTGCTTTTACAGTATGATTTATGCTTCAGGATTGTGTCCCTCGACTTCAGTTTTGTTGGTGTATGGCATGCTCCAGATCATGTAATCAGCAGAACTTCAGTCATGCTTTTACATAGATTCCACTTTCTTTGGAGCAGTATGGAGTACCGTGTGTCTGCTGCAGTTACCATTGCACATGTTGTCATCAGAACGTCTTGGAGCAGGGGTTTCCAAACTTGCTTTGCTTGTGTGCCACTGCTGGGAGCTGCAGCAGTGCTGGTGGCAGCTCCCAGTGCTGCGCCGACGCGCGCACGCGTGCAGGAGATGGTGCACAACCGTTCCAGCGCTCCCCATGTGACTCTGAACTAGCTCGTGTGTGACTAGTGGTGTGTCAATCGCAGTTTAGAAACCCCTGTTCAAGAGCTGCATTTCTCTTCTGTCTCTTGGTTGTGTTGCTTTTATTTTTGACTGTTCTGTACGTCACTTCTTCCAGGAGTGCTTCCGGGGAGCCAAAAGACAGGGAGAAGGAGGACAGCAAAGATTCGAAACCACGCTCCTTGCGGTTCACGTGGAGTATGAAGACCACTAGTTCTATGGACCCGAACGATATGATGAGAGAGATTCGGAAAGTGTTAGATGCTAATAACTGTGATTACGAACAAAAAGAGAGGTTTTTGCTCTTCTGCGTTCACGGTGATGCACGACAAGATAGCCTTGTTCAGTGGGAGATGGAGGTCTGCAAACTGCCACGATTGTCGCTCAATGGAGTTCGTTTTAAGAGAATATCTGGGACTTCTATTGCATTTAAGAACATTGCATCCAAGATAGCAAATGAGCTTAAGCTGTAAAGAGAACCTAAATTTTTTGGGATCAGGGAAGATTCATACATGATCTACACTTTGAATGTACTGGTTACGCCTAATGTGATTGGCCTGTGAAACTCCCCATGTAGAAATTGCCCTTATTGCAATAAGGTTATACATAGTTATTCAGAATTGTAAAGTTAAATCCAGTATGACCTATATTAAATAACTGTAGCTAAAGAAGTTATGTTCACATGTACAGGTAAGTATATAGAGCATTCTGTTCATTTTATGTTCATAGAGTTGTATAATAAAAAGATGACTGCTTAAATTCAGATCTTGTATAGTTGTCTAGATTTCTGCACAGAAATGTATGTTTGATGCTTTTGAGTTGGAAAAGTTCTTCCTATCATTTACATTTTTGGTGGTTTTTATAAGTCTTACCTCTGTCATGCGTTTTTTAAAAAAACTTGTGTCCCAAGTCAAATGCACAAAAATAGTTTTCACAACTGTAGCGTGACCATTTTTAGTTATTTAAAGATTGTTCATGATTTGAAACAAAAGTCGATCAATAACCGGCTTTTGTTCTACATGAGACTGTTCCTGCTTATCTTTGGCTCTTACCCCTGTTATTGGACAGTGTTTAATTGAAAAAAAAAATAAAATACAAACATGTTTACAGTGTTGGCACTTACAGTTTAAAAAACTTTGATCTGCCTTGGGCCAGCTCAGAGCTGTGGGGGAACAGAAACCAGGCGTAAGTGATGTTCTGTCTGCAAATTACAGTGCTTACTCCCGTGGCCCGTTACCAAATGTAGCACCGAGATGGAGAACCATAATTATTTCATTTGAATATCGTGGTGTAAAATATCACTTGTTTGCTGCCTTCAGAATACTATAAATTCCATTTTCTGGAAATATACTAATATTGGGACTGTTGAATAGCACAAGATAATCTGAAGTGTTGACCAGTTGTATAAGTTAATAATACCACCTCAGGAATTAGCTTGGCTTTTGGAACATGTGCCCCCAAAGAGTACATGCAATTCCACATAATATTTTACAGCTAAACATACCTTGTTTATAATGATAAATTGTTGATTTATGCTTTTGTGGTTGTACAGTTTGTTCCCATGTAACTGTTTGTGTTTAATATTTTACCAGATTTCTTGTATTTATTCCACATCATTATGCCTGTAATGTGCAGCTTTGTAATTAGGCACTTGCCTACAGAAAAGAAAAAAAAAAAAACCCACATTTTTTTCCTTCATAATTAATGATTATAAACTATGTAAAACCACTAGTACTGGTACATTTTAATACTTGTTATTTTGTACTGAATTAACCATAGAGGTTGGTTGTGCAATGTTATTTAATGTCGTAATTACTGTAATATCAACATATGGGCCCCATCTGCACACTCTTGTGAAGAATAGAAAGTTCATTAAGAAATTGTCACTTTAAAAAATAAAAACTAAAAAAAAAAGCTGTGGTAAACTCTGTAACCCTAAGTTAGAAGGCTGTAAGTGTAGTAAATGTGCCATTCTCTAATGGCTTCTTGACCGAGATGGACTTTACATACTGTACTGTGATGTAGCTTTCCTATGTAACAGTTATGTTCGGAAATGGACGTGTATTGTTGCCTTAGAAAAAGGGTGGTGTTTGGAAAGAAAGAACTGTAGCCCCTTTTCTTTTTTTATCTGATGTTCATTGAAACAAAATCTGATGCAAGTCATCTTGATTCACTGGTGCACTCTATTAAAACTTACTTGAACAGTTCTCATACTAAAATACTTGTTGTTTGCCCTTTATAAAAGTGCAGTAATTGCTGCAGGTCACAAAGTAGTCTAAAGGTCTACAGGCTTCATCGTCAGCATTGCGTGAATTCGGGATTAGTGTTGCGTCCGTTCTGTGGTCCTGTGCTGTCCAGAAAGTATCAGTGCTTTAGCACTTCCTAGAAATGGGTGTCCAGGAGTTTCTCCAGAAATTCACCAAAAATCACCCTCAGGAGGGGTTTACGCATCCACTCAGTTTACCCGTCCATGGATGTTCAGTTATCCTTGAAGCGATACCACTGGAACGTGACCACAATGTTAATCCAAGATCGTGTATGAACTTAGTCATGAAACGAAACCCTTTGCCTTTTCAGAAGGTTCAGTGGAAAAAATGTAGGTCATGTTGTGAGAGGGTAGATTAAGTACTTAGGCTAGCTTCCCGCGGCACAGGCCTTGTTTTCACACAGCTCGCTTTGCCCTAGATTGCTGCTGGTTCTCACGTAACCAGAGATGTCTTAGTGTTCCACAAAACACAGGTACCATTTCCAGAGCACAGAGGTTACGAATTCTAGTTCAACTCTCCCACGTGAAACGCGGCACCCCAGAGTGCCAATTTAACATTTCCGTGTACGGGCAGTTTGCAAGTGGCACTTGCGGTAACGGCCGGCAGCGTGCGGCTGCCCCGATGCCCAAACCCTGCTTTCGCCTTGTTGAGAGACGAGCTGCAAACCACCTGACGCTCTCCGTGGCAAACACACCAAGTGCTTGGGCGAGGGCACGATCTGAGGGTGAAAGGTGTAGCTGCACCCAAACGCACCGTTCGGCTTTCCCAATCTCCTCTTCCTGGCAGGAATAAGATGGCAAGATCTGAGGAGGAGACTTTTCCAGAACTGCTGATTTTATCAGCAAGCAGAGCACGCTTAGTGTGGAAATGAGCGAGCTGTTGCATTACGCATCCCTGATGTCCTGGTTTTGGGTCCCTCGAGAGCTGCCTGGTTACGTACCTGTTATGTATCAGTTACTCCTTGGCTAAGAGCAGGATAAGAACATGTGGATGCGAAATGCAGCTTGACTGTCACGTGGGAGGGGATCAGTGTGGTGTTTTATCAGCGCAGCTTTGACTTGAGAAAACAGAGACTGTGAAATGCCATGTCACGTTCTGCAGCTCCAGGAAGGGATAGGGACGTCTTGGATCTTCAGAGGGCTTACGTGTTCGGTTGCAGTTTCTTGGCAGTGATTTGGGAGGGGGGGGCGGGGTGAGCAGTGACACATCAGCATGGTTTTGCTGTTTGGGGTTGAGGTGGGGTTTTTGCTTTATTTGTTTATTTCAGGCATACAGACACTTCCAAACTAAGTAGATCCCTTTTCACACAGTCTGGTTTAAAACGTTAAAATGTATATAGGTCAATGAAAGGACTATAAATGTTCACCACTCCTCCTGTGGATGAAAAATAATGGTTGAGAACCAAGTGGCATCATTAATGCCATATAGTTACGATGATGCTAAAATTCCATGAGCTGTTAGACATGAGACTTTTGATATCCACTGTCATAGGCCTAAGAGGTACCTTGGACGCCTTAATCTCAGAACGTGTTGTGGTTCCCCTGCCGCCACGCGAACAGAGACAGTAAATCCCAACCGAGAAATGTATTCCCTGAGGTTTTGAGAGTTGAACTCTGGAACATGAAACAAACTTGTGAGGTACAAACGCAGTCTGGGGGGAAATGCCTGCCCCTCTTGAGAAGACACGTTATCTTTTGCTATCTTTGCACTTCTCGTTTAGGGGCAAAGTATACATTCAGTAATGGGTCTATAAATAGAAAACCTAGATGTAAACACTTTTCAAAGCCTCAGAAAAATATTTAATGAATTATTTTTTTCTTTAAAATTTTTCAAGGTAGCTTGAGGTTAAGATGAACTATCCTATTCGACAGTCTCTTACAGATTATGGATATTTTATTGCTTGATGCTCCTACTTAATCAGCATCAAGCAATTGGTTCACCCCTCAAACTAAGCAAGCAGCACATTAAAATCTACAGCACTGTATCAGAGCATGCAAAATTTAACTCCTATACCTTGCTGCTTCGAGCTCCCCACCATGTGATTATTGTTAAAATAGGGACTGGGGACAAGGCCTACGGTGCTGCTCTGTTTCACTGGGCCTGCGGTGTTCAGGGCGTACCTGCACATCCAGGGCGTAGGCAAGTACAGCATCTCGCTCCAGGAGGTGGGGGAGACAACTGGGTGGCTCAGAAGCAGCCCCAGCCAGCCCTGCCACAGCCAGAGCCCCGAGCAGGCAGGAGCTGTCCTGGATTTAGGTCTCCATGTCAGCCTTCTGGAGATTTAAATTAAAAACCTGACAACGGTAAGGGGAGTGATGATGCCTTTAATATAAAATGGGAAGGGACAGAGCACTTCTCTGGTAGCGACAGATCTGAGGCTTTGTTCGCATCTCCTGCCCTTCAGAGGACTGGCCATGCTGCCCGTCACACAGCTTTTCTGGCTGGAGCTGTGATGGTGCTGAATCACCATCCTTGGGGCAAATAACTACGCCAGGTGCAGGATTTAGTTGCTGAATGTTGGGGGCACATCCCGGGGAGACAGAGGTTCGAGGCTTTGTTCCTCGGTAAGAAAACTCGACGGTAAAGGTTTAGTCTGTCCCCTTCTTGCATCTGCTTGTCCGAAGTATTTCGGTATGTATCAAATGTTGATAAATATACCAACTGGTTTAGTAAATGATACAGATCCTCCCTATACAATTTTGCTTCTCTTGATCTGCTATGGCAAGGTGAACAGCGCTGAGGGGGTTCAGTTGTTAAGCTGCAGCC